TGAACCTCCCCCCCCCCACCGCCTACCACAAAGCTGGGGTCAAAACATGAAAATATAAAAGTACATTACAAAAAAATTACCAGTAAATTTCATAGTAAAAAAAAATGTTGCTGTATATTTTTTGAAAAAAATCAAGTTCCCAAGAAAATAAGATTTCGTCATTATATGACCCATAAGGTCTTGATATGTCGTTAAACAAACAAACCTAAACGTTTCCAGCTTCTTTTTTTGTTATCCTGCATCAACGTCTATTTTTCTTTTATCCTTTCTCTTGTCTTTTTCTACGATTTATTTTCCGCTTTTTTTTTCCATCTGATCTCACTTTTCCTTCTCTATTCATCTCTCTTTTTCTCTCTCTCTCTCTCTCTCTCTCTCTCTCTCTCTCTCTCTCTCTCTATCTATCTATCTATCTATCTATCTCTTATACGCTCACTTTCTTCACTATTATTTATCTTCTTTGCCCTTAGACACGCGTGCAGAAACTAAAGACAAACCACAGCCGTTAAACTATAACACCAGTTCGCACACATTGAAGCCTTTATAGTGCCACCAAAAGCAGACACAACGTCATCTCTTGGTTGGTTTCATTATATCATTAGCTTTACAAGTCAGGCAAACAAAAGAGCGAATTTGAAAAAAAAAACACAAAAGCCAAATCACATAATCTTATTTGTCAACGACGGCGAAAAAGTCTTGTCAGATAAAAATCCGTGTCGACTTGACTCAGTTCGGCTTGACTCGTCTCCGGCTCTTTCCGCTTCTGTTCGGCTCATTACGTATTTTTTTATTTTTTTTTATTTTTTTTAGGTCTCTAGGTATCAGTCGTCGCGATTTGATACAAATCAAATCACTCTTGGTAAGCATTTTTTTTTCTTCCTTCCTGTTGTGATGGACAGGAGGAGGTGATCCGCTAAGCTAATTTCGCAAAAGCATAGTACTTGTAATTTCTTTCGACCCAGTCAAAGCTGACATAGAAACTACTGGCTTGGCTTTGAGAAGGTATGATAAAAAGTGTGACAAGATATTTAATATGGTAAAATATATATATATATATATATATATATATATATATATATATATATATATATATATATTAATGCATGTTTCATTAAATAATATAGACATGTTTTGTCTATTTATTTTAAGCAAGTTCCTTTCATATTGTCTGATAAGCTTAATAACATTATCGTTGAAAGACGAAAGGAAAACACCATATTGATACATGTTTAAATCCAATCTAAGCTTTAGGCTTTCACAAGCCATTATCAAAGATGACAATTCCAATAAATCAAACAACACACGATGATAGTCCGCCCTTGCTGCATGAAAATTTTCAAGTAACGACAAACTCGTATATACTACACTATATCTAGCATATCCAACTTAACTATTCGCAATGATTCTCCCCCGCCCCGTTAGCGATTTGCAGAAAACCAACATAGTTTACAAATTCAAGTGCCCTTTGGGGGATTGTATCTCTAACGGATTAAATAATATATATGTTGGTTATATACAAATATTTAAGTTAATGCTCTGTTTATAATAAACAGTATTAACAACATTTACCGGCCTGAATGTCCGAGAAATTGTAACATAAATATGTTATAAAATCACTACAAAAATAGCCATTTTCTTTGAACACCTCCGGTGTCTTATCAAGTGATGATGTTGAATGTAAAATAAATGGTTTTAAAAGTTTCAAATTAATTAACGATCCTTCACAAGGGGAAAACGTTGTTACAAAAGCTAGATGGACCAATCAAAATATACAAGTATAGGAAAATTCAAAAAGCTTGATAACGAAGTCATGTTATAATAGCTATTCAGATCTTTAAAATAGGGGTAATATTAAAAAAGAATTTATTCTAACCAATAATTATTAAATTATATTATAAAATTTGATATTAAAGTTGAAAGTAAAAATTACCAATTTTAAAATCCAAATTTAATCACTATTAAGTTTAGAATTATAAAATTGCTGAGGAGAAAAGAAGAAATACATAAGTTATTCAATTTATTTCTTCATTGAAATTTCGTTAGAATAGACGCTTATCTGTCATTCGGTCCTCTGACAATATGTATACACTTTAATACACTTTAATCCCAAGTGTGTGTTGGTTATTGGAATTCATTCCGTATACACCAATTATATACTTGTATATATATATATATATATATATATATATATAAACAGTACTCATTTAAAAATAAAGGTTCATATATATATATATATATATATATATATATATATATATATATATATATATATATATATATATATATATATATATATATATGAAGAAAAATATACGGAAAAAACAAACAAAAATCCTAATATGCAATTATGCTGTTTTAATGTTAATATAATATCAACGTCGGACGTTTCGGTCTAATAGACCATCTTCAGGACATATTCATAAAACATAATTAACATAGACCATATACAATTCAACATGAAAAAAACGATGGACATAAAAGCAAGACCAATCCAAACAGATAACTGAAATCTTTTATAAGATAAGCGTTCTTGCTTTTAAGAAAATAACTTAGACTAACACAAGAAAACTTAGATAAAAACCTTAAACGTAGCACCTTGACATCAGTAGTATTTCAGGGGCTAGAGAATTACTTCTGGATCAGAATGCATATATATATATATATGCAGAGAGATAGAGAGAGAGGGAGAGGTCGTATTCTGCTTATATCTATCTATCTGATATACGATATATCTAACTGTTTATAAATATATATATATATATATATATATATATATATATATATATCCTATTTACAGAATAGAGTATTGAGCACTCAACTTATATTTGCGTGTTTGGCCTTGGATTACACCAACCAACAGTAAATTTTGTATTCATATATATATATATATATATATATATATATTATAAATGAATTGATTTAAAATATGTTTTTTTTTCGCTACACAGTTCTAACGATGTTTCAAAATAGAAGCTAAAAGCTCAAAAATTCGCTTGAGGATGAAATGAAACTAATGTCTTTAATTTAATTACAAAATTAGATTCGAAGCTTTTAGCTTCCATTTTTGAAACATGGTTAGAACTGTGTAGCGAAAGAAAAACATAATTTGAATCAATTAATTTATAATTTTAATGCACTGTAAATTTACATTGAGCACTATTTTGTAAAAATAAAATATCTATAAGAACACCGGACTATATATATATATATATATATATATATATATATATATATATATACGAAGTACTTGCAATATGGACCAAACATCTAATCCATTTTACAATTAATAAAAACAAAAGGTTGCATCATTCAACGAGTGGTCAGTGGGTTAATGCCTCATTTAATGTTAGCGAAGTGAATTCGCCATTAATTACATTAACTTTATTGATTCATTCTTTGAATGACTACTTCATTACAATATTAATTAGGCTGCATTATTTACTAAATATGTATATATATATATATATATATATATATATATATATATATACCCAAATAAAGGATTGGTGCATACAGAATAAATTCATAAAAATACTATTCTTAAAAGAGTGCTCAATGCAGAGTAGAGCAAATATGATAACTTTATATATATATATATATATTATTCAACGAAACTCGAATCGTAGATCAAACGTAGGTATATGTATATTTATTGACATTTATATATATATATATATATATATATATATATATATATATATATATATATATATATATGCAGTTAATACAACATTTCTTTCACATTAACCTATGAGTTAAGAGAAGTATTGTATTATAAATTTAAACTGTTACACTAATTTCTTACAAAATTTTCCATTTGTATCCTAAAAATACTTTCATTTGATTAAATTATATGAAAAATAATTTACTATTTCCAAACTGAAATAATCTTCTACAAAATTACAAAATAAATGACAATGTGAATAAAATTGTTCGTGTCTTGTGCTTCGTCTTTTAGATAAGTTTTTTCTTTTTCTACTTTGTCAATAATTTTCATGGAATTTTTTCTGTTATATAAAAATGTATATATCATTTTTTCCATTTTGCGATAGATAGAAAGAGAGAGGAAGAGAGAGAAAGAAAAGATAAAACAGGGAGAAACATAGAGATAGATAACAAACAGATAGATAGATAGATAGATAGATAGATAGATAGATAGATAGATGAACATAATAGATAGATAGATAGATAGATAGATAGATAGATAGATAGATAGATAGATAGATAGGAGTAAATCTCCAATATAATTAGAAATATACGCAAAATAAATTACAATTTACAAATTGAAATATTAGTTCCAAAATTAGAAAATAAATGAAAAATTAACCCCGTCACACGCTTCGTCATTTAGATAAATTTTTTCTACTTTGTCATTAATTTTTCCACTTTGTCATTAATTCTCCGAAAATTGTTCTGTTATAAATGTATATATCATTTTCTTCCATATTGTTACACATAAATGCATATATATATATATATATATATATATATATATATATATAGAGAGAGAGAGAGAGAGAGAGAGAATGAACAGACTGAGATAGATAGATAGAGATAGATAGATAGATAGATAGATAGATAGATAGATAGAAGAGGATTAGAGAGATAGAGAGATAGATAAGGATTAAGATAGATAGATAGATAGATAGATAGATAGATAGATAGATAGATATGAACAATGCTGGGATAGATAGATAGATAGATAGATAGATAGATAGATAGATAGATAGATAGATATGAACAATGCTGGGATAGATAGATAGATAGATAGATAGATAGATAGATAGATAGATAGATAGATAGATAGATAGAAGAGGATTAGAGAGATAGAGAGATAGAGAGATAGATAGATAGATAGATAGATAAGGATTAAGATAGATAGATAGATAGATAGATAGATAGATAGATAGATAGATAGAAGAGGATTAGATAGATAGAAGAGGATTAGATAGATAGATAGATAGATAGATAGATAGATAGATAGATAGATAGATAGATAGATATGAACAATGCTGGGATATATATATATATATATATATATATATATATATATATATATATATAGATAGATAGATAGATAGATAGATAGATAGAAGAGGATTAGAGAGATAGATATATATATAGAGATAGATAAGGATTAAGATAGATAGATAGAGAGAGAGAGAGAGAGAGGTGGGGAGGAGTAAATCTTCAATAGGCAAATTCGGCCATAATTCCATTTACGCTTCCTCTCACTGTTTCTCACTTTGCCCGGCTCCGCCTTTCTCATAAGACATTTTACGTATTGCCTTGCTTATTCTCAACTCTCCACATTCTGGTCCAGTTCAGTTAAACTAGGCTCAACTGAGTTTGAACAGATCAAAAGACTTCTTTTTCTCTTTTTCCCCCTTTTTTTTCTTTCCTTTTTTTTTTTTTTTATTTTCTTAAACCCGACTGCTCCTGCTGATACTATTAACGCAGGCATGCGTAAAATCTACAATGTGTAAAAATGTGTTACCCTAAATAAAGAATTGTTTGCGTTTGGATGAGAAAAAATGTGGACGTGGTATGCGCATATCAAGCAGGTGAGGTGTCATCGTTGGGATCCGTTGCTTGGGGGAGGGGGAGACGGCGGTGGGAGCGTAAGCATGTTTTAGTTCGGATATATGTCTAAAGGGAAAGGACCTGCAATATTTTTCACTGCGGATATATCTACTTATTCGGATCTAATCCTTAAAGACAGAAGCAGTGGCAAGATGAAGTCGAAATCATCTACTCTAAATTCCAGGAGTGGTTCAAGGGTTGAAAGCACCTTCATCCTCTCGCGTACTACGATAGATAGATAGATAGATAGATAGCCAGAGATAGATAGATAGATAGAGAGATAGAGAGATAGATATCAACATGGATCCATAGATAGATAGATAGATAGATAAAGAACAGCCTGAGATAGATAGATAGATAGATAGATAGATAGATAGATAGATAGATAGCCTAAAATAGATAGATAGATAACAAAGATGGATATATATCAACATGGATCCATAGATAGATAGATAGATAACAGACTGGAAATAGATAGATAGAAAACAGCATGAGATAGATAGATAGATAGATAGATAGATAGATAGATGAAGAATGGCCTGAAATACATAGATAGATAGATAGATAGATAGATAGATAGATAGATAGAAAACGAAACTGCGATATAGAGAGTGGTGAATAGATTGGTGTACTGAAAAATGAATGCATGTACAGGGTGAGACAAAAGTCACTCACCATCGCGATAATTTATTAAAAGTATAATTACACATGAAAATGTTATTCACTAATTCATTTAATTGTTACATGTGTTGTTCAAATTGTCGTCCTTCTTTTTCAAAACACATTTCAATTTTGTAACTGCAGGATTCATTATCACGTCATTTTACTCCATGCATATTGAATTTTTTCTTTACGTTCCTCAATATTTCAATTGGGTGTGTCTAAGAAACAACTGATTTAAAGTGTCCCCACAGAAAGAAATCCAAGTGTGTGAATACTGCTGACTCCGATGGCCAGGCACCGGGACCTATCAAAGCAAATTAGACCGTTAAAACATGTTTAATTAATTAACTCTTATGGTGCTAGACTTTTACCTCACCCTGTATAGATAGATAGATAGATAGATTGATAGAAAAGGAGAATATATTTAGAGAGAGCTGAATATTTTATGTTAGAGAGAGTGATAAGGCCTAAATAAGATAAAGCGATCGACAAACAGTTTGACAGAGAAATTAAAGACACACACACACACACACACACACACATATATATATATATATATATATATATATATATATATATATGGAAAGAGAGAGACACGGTGTGGTAGTGGATAGCGGCTCGGATTGAGGAATCGGAGAGCCGAGTTCAAATTCCACTCGCATATCCATTACATTCACTTACGTGCTAATACGCTTTGGTAAAGGTATTAAACCTCTTCTTCTCCCTCCCAAATATAGGTTCTTCCAGCAGCCACCCTCTTGACCCAGATTAGCACTACCTCTTCAAGGCACTTGATGTTGGACCCTGTGTTGAGTATGAGGCCCTCACCAACAAATGCGGGTGTTCTTTTCTTATGTAATCACCATTAGACTCATCCAACTCTTTCCAAATAACTCTGAACTGTCCTCAGACTGACACCTAAGCAATTTGAAATGTTCGTATTCGAAGTTCCGGCGCCAAGCAGTACAGCATGCCGTTTTCAAATTTCTGGCTGAGTGAATTGCGTCATGGTGCTCTTTTTCTTACAGACGGTGCCCAACTGACCCTACTATATTGTGCAGTTGGCAAAATCAAAAACAAACAACGCGCATGCACGAAATCAAAAAAATAAAATGGTGACAATTTACCCATCGCACCCTCTGTGTGTATATGTATATATTCAAACAGTTTTGGTTAAATAATTTAGACATCATGTCGTTTAGTTTTCGTTGTGATCTTTTCAAGTTTAATTTTTAGATTAATTTCTTACTACGACGATGCTAACAAGAATGCTTACATTTCATTTGGCTGAGGATAGTTCAATATCTCAGCATTTAAAGGAACACTCATTCACACCCTCACAGATTTAACGGATATTAGTTGAAAATACATCTATACTACATAAAAACAACAATAATCAAAAACTACAAATGTTTGAAGCCGTTTATAGAAGACAATTAAAGGTCAATATAAAGTCAACAAGGAGTATAGCAACAAACTCCTTAAATGCTTAAAAAAAAAAAAATATGTATGAGAGGAAATGGAAAAGTTACTTCCCTTATACTGGAAACAAACAAAAAACAAAAAAAAACAAACACGTGAAATTATAAATCTAGAACGCTCCATAAACAGTAAAAACGAACAGTTGAAAAGTTTTAAATTTACAGAACTACATGCCCAAAGACAATTTAACACACGTAAAATGGCCTCAGATGAGACCGAAAGCACTTGGGAAAATAAAAACTATTTCAGAGAAAATTTTGGTATATTTCTTAAATCAATTTTCTAAGGCTATCAAGAAATTAATCCGCTAACTTAAAAGGATTACAAAGAAAACTAATGGAAGTGATACGTCTAAATTATTTAACCAAACTTGCTTGAATGAAAATATGCTGACTAAATATATATATATATATATATATATATATTTTTTTGTTAAAAGGTTATATTTTATGGATACTCATAGAAGCACTGTTAAACAGTATTTTTTACCCAACTGCATCTATAGGCCGGAATATTCCAGATGTAGTTGGTTAAAATAAATGCCGTTTAATCAAAGAACAGGGTTTATACTTGAATATGGGTATCCATAAAAAAATAACCTTTAAACAAAATAAATTAAAATATAAAAATATGTCGGATTTAATCCATTCCTAAAATAAGTATATATATATATATATATATATATATATATATATATATATATATATGTGTGTGTGTGTGTGTGTGACTGGGGAGGAGAGGGTAAAGAGAGATTGAGGAACAAAATAATATAAAGTAACCGTCAGACATTCTGAGCAAGAGACAACTGAAATTCTTGGGAGTCAGAGAGAGATAAACATCGTTAGATATTAACTAAATGAGAGATAAACAGATTGAAAGAGAAAGAGAGAGAAGGAGTAAATAGTGTTAGTCAGTGTGTGTGTGTGTGAGAGAGAGAGAGAGAGAGAGAGAGAGAAACAAAATAAAATCTTTTAGCAATTTTTGAGCTTTTAGTTTTAAAAAGTATCCGATAAAAGTACAGAAATACTTATTTTCCGCAGGTTTTTGCTCACAAACTACTTTCAAACTTTTACTATTTCAAAAATAAATCCAAATAAAGCTAATATTTTTTTTTTTTTTGTATTAGATACATTGAATGGAAAATATATTCAAACCAGAATTGTAATTATGAAGTTTTTAATTGTATTCTATAATTAAAAACTGTGTAAAAAATTATAAAAGATTACAAAAAAGGCTACTCAATGAATAAGATTTGTTGGTTTATTCGTTAGATCATAATTAATAGTAACAAAAAATAGATAAAAGTGTATATAACACCATAATACTGCTGGACAAAAATTATTAGACAAAATGATTTAAATTTGCATTGTTTATTAAAAATCACATTAAAACTGCTGTATAATATATTACATCATAATATAGCTAAATTGTTCCGGATAATTTCCCTTTGTAAAAGAAGGTCTTATTTGAAGGCATGAGGATTTAGTAATAATGTACTTTTATCGTGTATTCTCTCCATAAACAATTCGTAAGCCATTAGTAAATTATAAATTTTATAAAGCTGTGTTATAAGTTTTTCACTGATCAACGGAATGAAATTTCAGCGTTAAGATTTTGAACCTAAACTTAATCTTTAAACTAGTTTCCTCAAAAAACGCTAAAGATTCGGAAAAAATATTGTCTATCATTATTTATCATGTCAAGCCACAACTTTCAAACTGAGTGCAATAGAATGGTTCCAAAATCTAATTATTAATCATCACAAGTAAAATAATCATTTTTTTTTCTGTATTCGATGAATTAAAACTGTAAAAAATGTAAAAGATTACAAAAAAGGTTAATCAATGAATAGGATTTTACACCATTTTTTAGATCATAATTAATAAGACAAAATATTTTATGTTGCTTTGTTTATTGAAAACCACACTAAAACTACTGCATTGTAGAACATTACATCATAATGTGGCTAAATTGTTCAATATAATTTCCCTTTGAAATAACTGATAGTCTTATTTGACGGCTCAATGATTAAGTAATAATTTGCTTGTCTTGTCCCATGAATCTTGTCTATATAAAATTTGTAAAGCTTCAGTAAATAATACATTTCATAAGGCTGTTCTATAAGATTTTCACTGATCACCGGAATGAAATTCCAATGCTATGTTTTTTTAGCCTGAACTTAATCTTTAAACTAGTTTCTTCAAAAACGGTAACGATTTGTAAAAAAAAAAAAAAAAAAAAAAAACTTTTATTATTTTTATCATGTGAAACTCCAACTTTTAAATCGAGTGTAATGACAGGGTTTCAATATCGACATACCATGTTTAAAGAGATTTTCCTTTGATTTTCGTTTCATACCTTGAAAAGTGTTATTTTAGTAACTGTAGACACAAATGAAAATGCAAGAACACCTACAGAATTTTAGGAAAGGTCAGCGAGAAGAAAGGTTTAAAGCAGTGACCTTTTTTTGGCCCTATGAACCCTTTTCACTATGTCAGAATAAAATCCCACCCTTTCCAATCACCACAAACAAAACATGCAATTTTTTACTGTTTTCAATAAGTAAAATCTGTGTAAAAAAATTGTAAAAGATTACAAAAAAAGGCTACTCAATGAATAAGATTTGTTAAATAATAATCAATAAAAAAACAAATAGATAAAAGTGTATATAAGACCTTAATATTTCTGGGCGCAAATAATCTGACAAAATGTTTTAAATGTGCATTGTTTATTGAAAATTACACTAAAACTACTGCACTGTATAATATATTGCATCATAATGTGGCTAAATTGTTCAGTATAATGTCCCTTTGAAGTAAATGAAGGTTTTAATTGAAGGCACAATGATTTAATAATAATTTACTTGTGTCATGCATCTTGTCCATATACAATTTGTTAAGCTTCAGTAAATAATAAATTTTATAAGGCTCTGCTATAAGGCTTTTACTATTCACAGGAATGAAATTCCAACGTTAAGATTTTGAACCTAAAATTTAAACTCGTTTCCTCAAAAAAACGGTAACGATTTGGAAAAAATGCTTTGTATCTTTATTTATCATGTCAAACCCCAACTTTCAAATTGAGTTCAATATCCCGATTCAAAATCGACCTGTCTTAATGATGGCACCCCGTGGGAAAACTGGTTACAACAAGCTTCGGTTATAGGAGTAGTTGCCCTGGTGGAAAAATGGGATGTGGGTTCAATTGCTGTCGGCAGGTATTTTATTTTTAGTAGGTCATCTAAATCTAGGCCGGTTGACATTTCATTGTCGCAGAAAATAAACAGAGATGTCAACACGAACACCTGTAATCACCAGAAATGACGTTTATAGCAAGAAGAGATAGATAGATAGATAGATAGATAGATAGATAGATAGATATGAACAGAGAGAATTAAATAGATACATAGATAGATCGATCGATAGATAGCCAGATAGATATGAACAGAGAGAATTAGATTGACAGATAAATAAATAGATAGATAGATATGAACAGAGAGAATTAGATAGATAGATAGATAGATAGATAGATAGATAGATAGATAGATAGATAGATAGATAGATATGAATAAAAACTCCTTTTACCAACGCGTTTTGTTCTCAGTGCATCAGAGGGTGAAACGCATGGATAAAGAAATGTTTTCCTATTGTCTTTATCCATATTGTCTTTATACCGATATATTGTTAATTATACCTCAATTTTTACACACACACACACACGTATGTGTGTGTGTCTATGTGAGTGTGAGAGAGATGAATAGATTGAATTAGAGAGCGAAACGTATGAACAAAATAAGATAAAGCGACTGAGATAGATAGATAGATAGATAGATAGATAGATAGATAGATAGATAGATAGATAGATAGATAATGAAGAGACTGGTATAGATAGATAGATAGATAGATAGATAATGAAGAGACTGAGATAGATAGATAGATAGATAGATAGATAGATAGATAGAAGCAGCTGAATACTTTGAACATACTGATGGAGAGAGATAGAGAGAAAGAAATGAACAGAGGTACCTGGAAAGAGAGACGAATATATTAAGATACGGAAAAATGAACAGACTAAGATATATATATATATATATATATATATATATATATATATATATATATATATATGTTCATTTGTCTATTATATATATATATATATATATATATATATATATATATATATATATATATAGTTTATGAAAAAACTAGGTAATCCCTATGAGTAAACCTAAGGAGGATAAAATCCAGAGCTTTTATTACATGGAACCTTAAATTGGACTGATTTTATTTAAATATATATATATATATATATATATATATATATATCCACTCATGGGTTGAGCACTTTGGAAGAAAAGAATTGGTCGGATGCTGCTAATTAACACTAAAAGCTCTTCGCTCCGTATTGAGAACTCTGATAGCCGGGTATGTTTACATCTCGTATATAATGCGTTAAAAATTCCCTTTCTTTACTGCGTACGCTGATAGCCTAAGGTTTCGATCCAGGCTTGAAGCAATCGCATGTCTAGCTACACTGATGATCTATGATACAGCGAAACAGTATGTCCGTGGATAACTATATATATATATATATATATATATATATATATATATATATATATATATATAAGAGAAAGAGAAAAAAGAAAAGGAAAAAAAGAAAAAAGTAATATAAATGAAATAAAATAAATAAATTAATAAATACATAATTATAAAAAACAAATTTAGAATATATAATAAATAATGATAAAAATAATAAAGATAATACTATTAATA